CCAGAAGACAGCAACCAAAAACAGCCCCAGTCGGAACGCAGACCCGATCCAGAGAGGGGCGGCACCTTGATACGATTTCGAACCTGCGTAAAAGGACTTCACAACAGTCGGGAGTACAAAGGCCAAGATCAGGGGAATGATGAGCTGCCAAGGGGCGGAGGTTGAAGACGTTGCCGAAGAATAGTAGGTTGAACGACAGAATGGCATTTGCTCTTCACGACACAGCCGAGACATAGATGCCACTCTTCCTAAAATGACGAAGAGAATGGAATGATAGACGCCCAAGACCCGGTCTGCAGTCAATTTCTGACGCATTGAAGATACACCAGCGAGAACACCAAAAGTCGAAAGGAAGAACAAGAGTATTTCATCTTCCCAGATAGTGTAAGAATTAGAAGCAAACCCGACGGACTGTGCGACGGTGAAGACAATAGCAAGCCAGCCCCACAATGTCTTAGGCAGAGGCACTGTCAGTTGCTTGGGGCGGGAGAACAATGACCATGAAGCGCTGAGAATCCCTCCTGTGGCTGCAAATAAGACTGATTCCTCGATCAGCGGGCTAGCGACCACGCCTATAAGCACGAGCAGAGCGCCACTGATGGCACCCACGCCAGTGCCTGCTCCAACGGACGTAAGCAGAGCGTTATTGAGTACAGTCTGCCCCGTCCTGATTCCACGTGCATAAAACACCAGCAAGACGATTGCGGCAAGCAGAATAGCAATACCCTGGGCCATACTCCACTCGTCAAATTTGGCCCAGAGGCTGCGACAGACTTGGAGGGTGTTCCGCTGGTAGTGCCTGTACGAATCGTAGACCGGTCGCAACGTAGAGGGATTGGATTTGCCGACCCAGGGGATGTTCTGCCAGTCGTTCTCTGCTGCATTCCACAGCTCAATTGACTGAAGGCTGTTCCCTTCTTCCGCCCCGCGTACCGATGCATACTCTTGCTGATAGCGTTTGATCTGCGCCGAAGTCAGGCGGTTGACAGTCACTAGGTTCTTCCAGTTGTTGCCATTGGGCCCGGCAAATGCTTCCTCAATAGGCGAACCAAGATTGTTGAAAGGGATGGGTATTCCGAGAAGAAGAGACAGCGTAGGCACAAGATCGACCTGCGGAATGAAGCGGTTGCTGGCTTGCGCGGGCGGCTTTACATTCTCTTCGCTAGTCCGTCCAAATATGCCCTTCTTCGAATACATCCACAATGCGGCATTTACTTCATCATCCGACTCGCCGCCGTGGTCGCCCTTTTGATCCATGCCGTGGTCGCCCATGACTACCAGAAGAGTTTTGTCGTCCAGCTTTGCCATCACATCGCGGATCAGCTTGTCCATTTGTTGAAGCTTCGTAGCCATTGCTGGGTGGTTGGGTCCGTAGCGGTGGCCCGCATGGTCGACTCCAAGATAGTGCCCGAAGACAACGTCCCATTTTGTGGCATTAGCAGGATGTAGAAGCGGAAGGAGATGCTCCGTCACGCCGTTGTCGACAGTATGCAGATCCCAAACATTGAATGAATCATAAGGACGTGTCAGATTCGCATCGAAGTAGTCGGGGAAGAGTGACTGCCATGTATCATCACCCAACTGCACCAGAGTCTTCCCGGCCGCGCGAAGCTGAGCAACAATGTTATCCTCGTCAATGGCTGTTCCAGCAAAGTTGGACCCAGCATCAACAAAAGTTGGCAGTGTTCCGGTTGTCAGTCCTTTCAGCCGCTGTAGCGTGGTTGTTGGCGGGTCAGCAATGAACGGAAGCAAAAAGGCGTTTTCCGGTGTGTTCACAGCTGTCTCGTAAAGGACGGGAATGTTATTATAGAACAGGGGGTCTGATTCCGCGTCCACATCCGAGGTAAAAGGAACCGTGAAATCATATCTCAGGGCATCGATGATGAGAACGACGGCCTTGTCAAATGACTTCTTATGCCAACACCCGTCACTCTTCTTGACACTTGTATCGGCTAAGGGAAGCACATCGCATGAAGACTTATTTTCCAGCACCATACGAGTTAACAAAAATCCTTTGGTGAAGAAGAATATCCCCACGACGTGCAGAAACCTATTGGTGGACGAGCATGAGCGGTGCGCAATTTCGCTAAGTATGGGGGAGTTTGAGTCTGAAAGGTGTGGCTTACAGAAACCACACAAGCACTCCAAGAAGACCCAAGTGTTTCAATTTGAAGTCCCCTTCCAAGCCATTCAAAAAATTTTGCGCATTGTTGTTGGATACTTTTGGCACGGTTGTTTTGCGATCGGTGCGATCTGAGGCTCGCCCTGGGGAGCTTGTAGAAGCGGTTGCTGCGATCTCCGTATGGTGGCTCTCACGGCGAGAGCCTGCGTCGGTTGAGGACAGCATCACAGGATGCGATGCTTAGCTGTGATGGGGTGGGTGGGTGACAAACGTGGAGTCGGAGAGCGAGGTGTGTGGCATCAGAACAGGGAGGTCAATGGCTCCTAAAACAAGAATCTGGTTAGCTTTCTTTGGAGAGGTCTGCGTTGAGAAGCTCCAGAAGATCTTCGAGACTAACAGGAACTCATTGACACAAATAGGAGGTGACTGCTATTCCTATTTTTTTTTCTCGCGACTGCGCTTCTCCCTGTCGCTTGACACTTCGACGAACGGATTGAGGGGAGCTCAGTACGGCGCAAGCATGATTCACGCAGTACAAATCGATCCGGTCAAGGTGATGGAGCTCTCAGGGGCGAAAATCGCGCAGTTGACGAGAAGGAGCGAAGCATTGGGTAGGGGAAAGAAACCAGTGGACTCGATGCGCAACCCCCGTGACGTCGGGAAATCGGCGCTTTCGCTTTCGGCATCCCCTCCTTTCCTCCACCAATATTTCCGCCTTCATTGGCCGGAGCGGCTCGGAACATTCAAAGAACCCTGTGCGGTAGAAAGCGGGTCTGCCATGAGCCCACCAGGCCCGTTTCGGCCATCCTCTCTTATTGCGCGCAATGATTCCACCAAGTTGTGAATGCACACAGAACATACATAGGCCCAGTATGCAAATCAATCCCAGCTTGAGTTGGGGATCAGCTATCCTGTAGCTGATATACAACACAACATTCTGGTAACAGATCGTCACAGAGAGCTGATCCATGCAATAGATATCGAGCCAATAATGGTTCTAGTTTTTGAAATATATGTTCGCAGTACGGATGCCACGACCAAGTGAAGCTACCTAAGTCTAGGTTCAACTGTTATCTTTAAATTTCGGACAACAATCTCATGTCATCTTATCGTCTATCAGCAATTGTTGTACAGTGAGAACACAGGTCATCTGAGCTATTTTTTGAGTATATATGGAATATTTCTGCGTCACGTAATACCAAGCTCTTCTTATAAGTAGAAATATTCCATATAATTCTATAAAATACTGTTTTTTATTATGAAAATTCTGTGTTTCTATAACACACAATAAAAATATAATCCTAAGCAGGTATTTGTTCAAAGAATATTTAAGATGCAAGAATCCTACTGGCAAGAACTGGTAAAATAGCTTCGTCACGACAGGATCATGACTGGTATTGCTATACACCTATTTGACATGATCGCCCTTTAAAAGAGCCCGGGTCCAAGCATCCACACACAGGCTTCTCCGAGACCTTGATCCTATCACTAGGTAGCCACTTAGCGGAGGTTTGCACGGTTAGTGGCTTCATAATCATGCATTGACCGCACCCTTAGCCACTTGCCACAAGCGCCGGGCGGGATAAACCTAAAATCAGGACTTTATCTAAAACGAGATAGCAGAGGTAATCTCAATTGCACCGAGAAAGTATTTGTGGTGTTTGTTTGACACTCACCCCTCTTGCGAGATGTCCCCCTTCAGTCACTGGGGTATGTTTTATAGAGATCCAGCGATGGCGTGGTGTGAACCTCCCAACACAAGCCTGCGAAGTGACCTTCATCCCGCTCCCAGAGACAAATTCTGTAGACATAACTTAGTTAATAAGAGTCAAATAGACTATTATACCTTGACCTGATCTTGACCGTACAGTTAAGAGATTTCGTATACCTTGCTCTGACTGCCAGGTTACAGTCAGGTTATGGTTAAGGTATAACAGTCAGGTTAAGCAGTCTACACCTATTCTACTTATAAAATACTATATAATCTTTGTAACCGTATACTATCTTTCTTACCTATTTTCTATATATGTTTATAGGGCTGAATGCTATAGTAAATAGATATACATCTTATCTATAGAATATATTACTCACATATACACGTCTCTACTAGGCATGCAGGGACTGGTCCGGGGTGCGGCTGGCACCTGTTTACACTATGTATTCCCTTATGGAATAGGTGTAAAGGTTGGAAGGGCGAAGGCCCTTCCAGTAATTTAGAATATAGCATTAAGACTACGCAGAGTATGCCAACAAGCGTACTATCATATATATAAGATTCAAAAGGCACAGCCGCTTAGAATAACTTTCTAAACATAAAACGAATTGATATATCTAGTTGGAGGGTTTGAACGGTCTTAAAGAACTACTACTATAAGCAACTGCGGCGGTCAGCGAGGCGGCAGCAGACCGCGCCACCTGCTTGTTGTTGCGCCGGTTCGGTGTCGAATTGCGTTAGTTCTTCTGTATTATGTGACTGCCGCTCAGTACAAGCCACCCACGCCTACAGCAGGCTTGCACAAGATCTCGAGTATAATCTAAACGAAAAAACAATTATCCAGGCCCTCTAGATCGGAAGTTATTTTCAAAATCCGTACAGATTCACCCGATAGATACTCACGGATAGCTTCGGGATCAATCAGGGGTTGCTCGGGACACTTACTGTTGTGCTTACTCCACACTATTGTAGAAAAGGTGGTTGCTGCTACAACGAAAATGATATATTATAGGAAAGTTCTGTTTGGTTCAGAGTGGTCGCTTTGGTTAACTGGGAATTAGGGCCCGGGGGGAGACGGAACCTTTCCGGCAAGCGGCCCTTATGTCCACGATGCCGGTCATCCCCCCCCGCCCAACATTCTCTGCAATAGAATTAGTGACGTTACTGTTTTCTCGCTTGATTTACCCGACCCTTCCGTGACCGTTTGCGAGATAGAAGCACAGGGCAAGATTGACTTCCCGACGACTTCCTGGCGATCCCCGGGATTTGGTCCTGTGCCATCATGGGAACTGCTTAACACCCTGGATCTCTTAGTGCCCGAGTTTTCAATCCGAGGCTCGAGACCACACCGTGTCTATTATCCACAAAATATGGGTATCCTCTCTACTACAAACATTCCTAAGGAGACTGTCTCGACACTCGAGCCTGTCCCAGTACCGGAAGATGGGGTTGTTATGCAAGTCCGGGCAGGAAAGGTCCGCAAAGCCGCTCTAGGAGGCGAAATCACCTCCGCCATCTACAAACAGGAACAGGAGGGCCCAATCTTCTGCAGTGCGACCGGCTTCACTGGGGATGAGCATGCCTCCCATCGGCACGGGGGCACGGAGCGCGCAGTGCATCAGTACAACCCTGACCACTACGCGGATTGGCAAGCCGAGAGCACCCCAGAGCCGCAGCTGTACGAGGTCGGGGCCTACGGCGAGAATCTGGTGACCACCATCCTCAGTGAAGAAAATGTGTGCATAGGGGATGTGTTCCGGCTCGGCGACGAGGTGCTGCTGGAGGTCAGCGAGCCTCGACACCCGTGTTACAAGCTCAACTCTCGCTTCCAATGGCAGAGAGCGTTGAACCGCACAATCCGGACGGGCCGGTCAGGCTGGAACATGCGCGTCTTACGGACAGGGACGGTGTGCAAAGGCGACTCAATGTCTTTGATCCAGCGCCCCTTTCCCCAGTGGTCGGTTCTTAACGTCCAGCGAGTCATACGAGCAAGAAATGTCCCGCTGTCTCTGTTGGCAGAATGCACCCAGCTACCCCTGACAGATCTGTTCCTGGACCTGGTTAACAGCAGATTACGGCAAGCCCCCAAAACATATACTCTTGTGGACGCTATGAACGTCACTCCGCGCGTCAGACAGCTCCAATTCGCGTTGAAGGACTCCCTGGTTCTGGCCCAACCCGAGTTCAATCCGTACGCTTTCGCGCAAATCACCTTTGGGCCCGACTCGCGCTATTCTCGATCGTACTCCATCGTCGACGGCGACTTACACAAATTTAGTCTGGGTGTGGCCTTGGACCGGCACTCACGCGGTGGCTCAGCATACCTCCACCATGAGCTCAAAATCGGTGACGAGATCGTCATGGCCCCCGGGTCAAACCCTGGGGCGCAGGAAAGCGACGCAAAATGTGACCAGGGTTTAGCACGGATTCTGATCGTCGGGGGGATTGGAATCACTGCCTTTCTCCCCTCTATCCGTGAGTGGGAGCAGAAAGGCTTGCCGTATCATGTTCATTACGCGGCGCGGAGTCCGGAACAGGCGGCGTTTCTAGAACGACTCCCGGCCGACAAGACTACGCTATATGCGAGTTCCAGAAATCAGCGGCTTGATATTGCAAATGTCATACCACAGCCCGGGCCGGACAATACGTATCAAGCCCGTATCTTCTCGTGTGGACCATCACGTATGATGCAGGAATGTGCACGGATCACCGCTGAACTTGCCTATCCGGAGCATATGGTTCATTTTGAAGACTTTGGGAGCGGTGATGGCGGCAATCTGGGTGAGGCTTTCGAGGTGGAGGTCGACGAGCCGGACACGAACAGGCACGAAACACTGACGGTTCCTGAGAATAAAACTATGCTCGATGTCTTGAACGATGCAGGATTTGACATTGTGTTCTCATGCAAGTCGGGCGCTTGTGGAGCCTGTAAGGTCAAGGTCTGTGAAGGGAAGGTGGATTACCGGAGCACGGCGCTTCTTGCCAAGGAAAAGGGGGCTGCGTTGCAGAGTTGCGTAGATCGTGGTCTTGGAAAGCTCAAGATAGAGGTCGACTGAATGGCTGGGCGTAGTTCAAGACGGTTCACAGGGTTGTTTATATGTGAAGAATTTAGCTAGTTCAATTACTACAACATTTAAAACTATCATTTATCCTGTCATCAAGCTATTCAAAATTATCATAGACTGAGGCTGGAATATGCTTCCAGAGTTTCAAGATGAATTATTTTACACTAAAATTGTTAAATATGGTCAAGGTTCCTTGAGTCTTAATATATGTATTTAGGTTCCAAGTAATGATGTATAATAACCGTTAGCAAATTAATTTTGACTGAGAATTAGGATCAGAGCTACCAATAAGATAAAATCCAGTCAAACAAACAAAAAAATTAAAAAGAAAAAAAAATAGGATAGGCTAGAATGCACGGCATTGTCAGCGTAAGCAAAGCTAATTATCGGAATAAAAATAAATATGATAATTCTAAAACCTTAAGACGCACTAAACAAGAGATCACACTTGATCCGCATCTTAAGCTTCTTAAAAGTATTTGTAGAACTATAAATACACAATCTTATGATTTGCATTTCCTTTGTACAAGGTGAAACTCATCGCGATTCTCAGTGGCTGGTAGATGGGCTATACGGAGTGATTTCTTGATTCCTTCGTAGTTGGACAAGCTAGGTTCTTCATGTATCAATAAGCCACAAAAAGGAGACCAACTAATATAGTTCTCTCCGAGTTGCTGAAGTCTTTTCCCTAAACTCTCATAACGTAGCACAATATCCACACAGTAAAATACCATTCTATTCAATCAAATACTGCGTCCGTTTCCGTCTTTCTGTTTCATAACATATTCACAAACTAGAGCCAGAGTTGTCCCTGCAGTCAAAGACACGGGCAATAACCCTGTTGGCGAACGCGTCTCGTATCGAGATAGCAACGGAATAGCTAGACAATAGCCTTGTTAGCATTCAAAACATGTTTCTGAACATTGGGGTTGAAATACTCACGTCCCACCTACTATCATCAACAGCCCCACCGCTACAATCACCGCATGAAGCGTATACTTGACCCTCTGTCCGGCTGACCCCACTCCGCAGCCTCTCTGATCATACATCCACAAGAGCAGCGGGAATACCAAACTGAAGGGGGCGAAACAGACTGCGCTGGCCAGCCCAAGCAAGTAATTCAGGATCGGCACCGCCTCGGCCACGACGAATGCAGCTGCGCCCAGAAGCAAGTTGCTACCGAGCCATGTGGACCAGTGAGTGAGCGTGTTTGCTTGCATGTGCCTCGAGTCGCGCAGCAGGCGCACAAAGACGTACTTGGCTGCGACGTGCTGGTAGATGCCGACTCCAACGACCAGCCCCGGCAGCGCGATCCCGTACGAGATCTTCTTGAACAGTGGACCGGCGCTGCCGAAGGCGGGAGAGGAAAGCCAGGCGCCGCAATAGCGGTATATAACCACACTGAAGGTGAGGTAGATGGCACCAACAATGAAGCCGGCCAGGAGACACGCTTTGCGATAGTCCTGTGGCCGACGCATCTCGGAGATGACGGGCAGAAACATGGACGAGCCACTCGTGCTGACGAAAACGTTCGCTGTGTTGAGCATGCCGATGACAAAGTTGGGTTTCGCGAAGGGCGCCCAACCCAGGTCAAAGTCCCCCGTCGCAGGCGCTGCTGCCGGCCGGTCTTGCTGCGTGACCGCGACGGTGAAGACGAAGACGGCGAGGAAGAAGGTCACGAAGCCGAACCAGGTCAGCCAGCCGAGCCGCGAGAACGTGCGAATGGACGAGCACATGGTAATCAGGATCGCGGACACGAGGGCAAATACCACTGTACATGTGCCATGGTTTGACAACGCATTGAAGGCGGTTCCTGTTGTGACGATTCCGCTCGCGGAGACCAGGATCTGAGCAATGACGATTTGGACACCCACAATCTCACGACCAGTACGTCCCCAGAGGAGTCCCATCATGTCCGCCAGCACTGGCGATCACAACCGTTAGATTTGATGGCTCCCAAGGGCTCTGCGGGGGGGCGGTCTTACTGTGGCACTCAGGGTGTTTGTTCCGAAACTCGCCAAGGATGACCCCGGTATCTGCACGTCACGTATCCACTCAGCATAACAGGTCCGTGATATAGGGCCTGGGAATCGTGGTAGTTTCGACTTACATGTGTTCAATGCAGTGAACCCGACAATCAATACACACCCCCCGACGGAACCAAGTGCCGCCAGGGCCGCTGGAATGGTGAGAATGCTCATCGCGAAATTGATCTTGATAAAAACCACCGTCGCTCGTTGCCAGCTGACGCTCCTGAATCCGACGCTGCCCTCCTCCACGTGGAAGATCTCGTGAGCTTCCCCGACTTCTGTATCCTTGGGTGGAACGTCATCCTCCTGGAGCGCACCGAGCGCGACCTTGTCAGTCTTGGGGGATGTGTTCTCCTGAATGGAAGATGCTCTTTTAATCGCCATGGTTAGCCAGGTCACGAGAATATGAAGAAATCTGGGAGCTCGAACGAAGGACCAAGGTAGCTCTAGATATACCTCGCCCAGGCTTCCGCCTGGGAGAGTCTTATCTCTTCCAGATTGCGGGGAAGATCTGAGACCCCAAGTTGGATAAGCCCAAGAGGGCAAATTAGTCCAGACTCTCGGGGATGACTGGGGGATATTCGGCAATGCAGTTATTCGCTCGCGGGTTTCGGTTGTGCGATACCTTGGTGAGCGCTGTTATCAGTTTGTCCCCTTGGCGCGAAACTGTAGCGGCTGTGCGGGGGTATATTTCATTCAAGTTGTAGATAAGACCAGCGGTACCCGGGGAGTTACGAAGCAAAGCTCAAGCAAAACTCTACTTTCGCCACTTGCCACACCCTCGCTTTATGTTTCTCGCGGTAGTCTATGGTGAAGCTAATCAGGTAGCTGTGGTAATCAAAACCCATCCCAGGAATGGGGTAAATCGTGTTGGTCGCGGTATGCGTACGTAAGGAAGTACTGAGAAAAACACCTGCCCAGGCAGCTGGACGTCCTGCTATGATTGCCCGACCTCTATCATTACGTCCTATGATTCTCCCGTGAGAGACAGACATGCTAATAGTGCCATTTTCGTATTCTGTAAGCTCTTCAACTAGGGTTGGGGTTGGAGAAGGAAACAGTTATCTTCCCCACCCCTCAACCTTGCTGGGATGCAGGGCACGGTCAATTAATGCCCCATCCTTGCGGGTTAGTCGGGTGGCCAAATTGCCCTATGTGACCACACGCAATTGGGAAAGACCTTGAGGAACGACAGGAAGGCGCAAATAGGATTAGAATAGTCCAACAAGCTTAGAGAAATGGGCATTGTTCCGGCTATCCTTTGTCTGACGACGCGAAGTGTACGCTTATAGGTCACTGCGAAAGCCCTCAGATTAAGCATGGTCTTTGTTCACATTATATTGCATTAGTACATTAGCAGAATGCCACCCATATTCCTGTCCCTGACAAACAAGTCATGACCCGGGATCGCGGGTGAAGTCTCACCTATTACTGTACATTGAGGGCAAGTCAGAAAGCAGCCGACACTAATGCGTGGAAACCAGCGATCGCCGGTCTCTAAAGCTAAACAACCTTTTGAAAACACGTTAAGCTCAAGTATCTCGGGCCTCAGCTGTTGGGAAAATGAATCTGGAGGCATCTAGGAAGTCTCGATGCCGCGGGTTCAAGGCCGTTGCCTTCAGAGTGATATCAAGCACCAAGGATTGGCCATGCTTCAGAAACGCGATTCCACCCTACTATGACGGAGTGACTGTATTGATATACCGACTATTCACAAGGTAAAGAATACTCAATTACGGTATACATATGAGAAATTGTTTGAGCATCTTTGAGCATCAATCCGGCTAGCGGACGGCTGAAGCATAGTAATATTTTTGTGCTCTCAACGCAACAGTGCCTCCACGGCGGACGCACATTGAATCAGTTCTTCGTCCCTCATGGGCCTGCCTATTAGCTGGATATGGCACGGGGCCCCCTCCACTTCCTGTGGTTTATCTGCGGCAAGTCAGCGCGTGCAATCAAATTGGGATGTTTGCAACTTACACTCTGGCGTATACGAGACATCCCGCACGAATGTCGCATCTTCAGCGCTTGCCGCACTACTATACGGTATGACACAGGCTGGGTACTGGATGTACTGTTAGCTGCCACGGAAGCCGCTTGGGGCTGATCCTGATGTTTACGTACGTTGAATAGGTTACAGAAAACGGTGTATGAAGCCACGCCAATCGTGTCATGCGGTACCGCACAGCTCTGGTAGGCAGGCCCGACAAGAACATCCAGCTGATTGTCAACGAATACACGCCTCATCCGGGTGAGAAGACCAGCTTTGGCAACGTTGAGCTCGTATAGTTCACGGAGTCGAGGCGCTGGGCCACTGCCATCGACATCGAACGTCGATCGCAGTGACGGGATAAACGGCTCGTCACCCCTGGTTACGTGGGTCAATGGAGTACGGTCGGGGTCCATATTAAAAAGCCGGAAGGCAATGTCTTTGGCCTCGGAGATCGATGGCATCTGCGTCGAGATATCGACCATCGTGTGGCCTGCCGCTTCCAGCTTGTCGATTGCACGTTGCAACGCACGCTGCATGGGAGGGTGCAAGGGGTACAAAGGGTCTTCTGGAAGCACACCGATCCGAAGAGTTGAGCTCCGCGGGGTCACACCCCGCCACGGTACGTCCAACGCATTGTCGTCGAGATCAGCCGGACGGGAGTTGATCGCCACTTTCAGCAGCAGCGCAGCATCCCGAACCGTGTGGCACAGGGGGCCTGCGGAGGGCAGAATGCCGTTGCTTGTCATGCCAGGGCGTGCGGCGGAGGACTGGCCCCCGTACGGAACTCGATTTACCGAAGGCTTGAAGCCAGTAAGGCCGCAGCAGAGCGCCGGCACACGGATGGACCCCGCGATATCAGTTCCGATGCCCAGGAGAGAGCCCCGCAATGCAAGAAGAGCGCCTTCCCCACCAGTGCTACCACCCGCTGTGAGGTTCAGGTTATGGGGGTTCAGCGTGCGACCAAAGATGTTGTTGTGTGTGTCCAGCGTCATCATCGTCTGTGGGATGTTTGTCTTGACGTAGAAGACCGCGCCCGCCGCCAGGAGAATATCTACCACGACCGAGTTTTTTTCTTGCGGCGGCCGGTCCAGGCACGACACAAAGCCCATCGTGGTGGGCACACCGGCAATGCTGTATGACTCCTTCACACTGATGGGGAGACCATGTAACGGACCAACTGTCTTTCCCGTAGCCGCCAGGTGCTCATCTAACTCCTGGGCTCTGCGAAGAGCCGTGTCGAAGAACATCTCGGTCAGACAGGAGGTCAGTTGTTGCGCAATGGCTGCCCGCTTGCAGAAAGCGGTCGTGACCTCGACTGCGCTGTACTCGCGCGAGGCGAGCTTTTCCAATAAGGCGGTCGCGTCGACGGTTTCTGTGATCTCGATCTCTCTAGGGGATAGAAGGCCACAGCGCTGTGGAATATCGAGCACTGTTGGCGGGGACCCCTCGGGCGGGGCAAGAAAAGAGGCCGGCAGGAGCCATTGTGATGGAATGCTTTGTTGCGCTTGCGACCGTTTGTGCGCGGCCTTTTCCTGCCATGTAGCCTGTGCCATCGTGATGAACGAATCCGAATTGGCGGTACTATACGAGCGACTCGATTGGTAGAAACTTCATGGCCGTATCTTAATTTGCAATTTGCCGAGGGGGGTGATATAGTTAGTTAGTAGTGTGGCCTGCGGTCCGAGTCCGGCTCCAGAGCGTTAAGCTCCCCGAAGCTCCCCGCCGTAAAGCCGGCGAGTAGAGATCATGGGCCGGGATCGGAGAAAGCCATTAGTTATCAGTGGCAAGGGAAGTTGAGTGGCGACTCTCTATCCCCTGTTTTCCCCTGTCTCCCCCACTGTCTTCCCCCTTCCCCCTCCCCCCCCCCGGTCCCCGCTTTGTAAGCGGAGATCCTTCTTCCGTAATTCCGGTCCCCCAGATAAGCTCTCGTGGAAGTCCCGATGTCAGTCAGCGAGATCAACACGATAGGCTTCCCATCACAAGGTATGCCAGTCGGTGGGTTCGCTGCAACCTGTAGCTTCCCTGCGTATCCTGCTTATCAGTTCAAACCCCGCTTCTCCGCTAATTAGCCTCGGACGGACCCACCAGTGACTTAATTCCTGATCAAGTTCAATTCGACGACATGTTCTTATTATCAGGCAGAAGCAACCTCGCATTTATGGATTCCTTCTCGCATTGAAACTCTGACCACCAACCCATTGAATGCAAGAGCATGTCTGACGCTCACAGGGAAGGTTTGCCGCTTGCAAAGCGGCGGCGCGTGGCTCTGGCATGCAGCGCATGCCGCACTCGAAAGTCAAGGTCAGACAAACCTCCCCCAGGAGGAGCGCCGCACCCGAACGCATTGCTGAAATATCATAAACTGCAGATGTGATGGACGGCGGCCATCCTGCTCGACATGTACAGCATTGACGCTCGAGTGTTTATATGATCCGCCAGATTCAGCAGCCAATGTACTGGTGCGGAAAGAATACGTCTCAGAGCTTGAGCAACGCCTGAAGCATGTGGAATCCCTGCTACGGCGACATGACGATCTACTGACGGGACACCTTGCCTCATGCTCAACGAGTGCACCCCAGTTCCTCACGGGACGCGCTGGAGATCGGGCGAGCGTGTCCAGCGTCGACCACGCACAGGGCGGAATTCACCTCAACGCACTGGACGTGGACGATGCAGAATCTGACGAGACAAAGACCGATGGCCTTGCCATCAAATTTGTGGAAGAGCCAACCCCGGTCTACTACGGTCGATCCTCCAGCATTGCATTCACTCGATGCTTACTGCGGGCCATGTCTGTGGCGCCGAGGACCAAGCAGACCGAAACCCCAATCTCTTGTAGGGAGGCCGGCTCCGTCGACTGCAGGCCCGCGGATCCCGCGCAGCAATACTCCCCGTCGGTGCTGGATTCTCCCAAAAGCGAGTGTGTCTCCGCCACGGCCTTGCCCTCAGAGGATGAAATGGATACATTGCTCACAGCTTACTTCAACGCTTGGGGGTCGCTTTTCCCGTTCCTTCATGAGCCGACCTTCAGGCAAATCTATGAAGATTGCAAGGCTAATGGATTCAGAAAGGCTCGTCGAACCTGGCTGGGCCTGCTAAATATGATGTTCGCAATGACTACCAACATTGATCAAAGAGCAGAGGTGTCGGCCAAGCAGCGGTTCAGGAAATCTTATGTCTTTTTCCAGCGTGCAGTGGCTCTTTGCAGCGAAATAGCAACGCGAGCTATTAGCCTCGACATTGTACACTACTTTCTACTAGCGGCACTCTATCTGCAAGGCACTCAGCGGTCGATCCAAATCTGGACAGTACATGGGATGCTAGTGAGAGCTGCAATGGCGCTGGGCTTGCATTCTGAGCAAGCGGCCCAGGGACTTCATCCCATACAGGAAGAAATCCGCCGTCGTACATGGCTTACAATATATTGCTTAGATAAGTTGCAAAGCATTACTTCGGGACGGCCGCCATCCATACCAGATGAGTACATTGTTGTGAAGATGCCTTCACCATGGAAAACGACCCCGCACCCGATACAGGGTCAACTCGGGGATGTGGACATCGAGACAGGATTTCTCAGTGCGACTGTGAGGCTCTATCGGATCATGGGACGATCCGTCGCCACACAATACGGCCTCAATTTGGGAGTTCCTGATCAGGAGATGGATGAGAGTACAGCGATACAGGCGGCAAGCGCAATGCGACAGGAGCTACGGCAATGGATCTCTAACCTCCCACCAGCGCTCGCTATAGTAGCCCCGTGCGAAGCTGCATCAACAGGTTCGCATGAGATGACGTACTCGAATCGGTTGCGGGTGATCCTGACCCTCCGGTATCATTTCGCCAACATCCTGATCCACCGCCCACTGCTCTGCGCGACGCTCGGCTATTTGACAGTGCAAGGAGCATCTGTAGCAGGCAATTTGCCGTATAGACTTCGACTCGCGGTGGCCGAAGCCCACGAATGCATACAATCTGCCGAGAAGACGATCGAAATAGTTCATGCAATCCTGACCACGAAAGATCCACGGTCCATTGGCCTGGATGTATGGTTCTTCACGTTGTTCTATGGTACGTATTTCACGGGCTCCGATGCCTGGTGTTTGGCTAACCACTTTCCGACCCCAGTCCTGAACTCGGCTTTGGTTATCCTCGGCCGATCAGTCCTATCTCAACACGGTGTCTATACAAATGACTCAAGCAACTCGGCCGAAGCTCGTCTTGCTCAGGCCTTAGAAGCTCTAGACAGATTGGACAAGGATAATCGTCAAGTCTACAACTGCGCCAAGTTCATCCGGCAACTTTTGGAGCCACAGAATGGTCAAGGTAAGTAGTCAGGCCGCCTCATTGCGTACTCAAGTTGAGACAGAGCTGACAGGCAATAACCTTTCCTATAGCCAGCGGACAGGACCCTAAGTCTCAAGCAGATAAAGGCGGCCTACCCTACGAGCACACATTGCCCACCCTTGGAGTACCACTTCTCAGCGACCCAGATATGGCTCAGTTTTCGAGCCCACATCTTTTGGATTACTCTGTTGAGGAGTTTAACTTAAACCTTGAGCACTTGAATTATTCGTACTGAAGAATACCTGAAAGCTTGCTAGAACATTTACCGGCTTTGCTGCTTGCCAAGTGGCAGCAGAAAGTGAGATCCAAGGCATATAACATAAAATACATGTATAGTAAACTTCCGAGACCACCCAAACCAAGTCGTTCCTGCCGGCGTCAGAATAAGTAGCGTCGTGAGAATTAGATGGATGCTTTGATCTGTGTGTTGATCTTGTCCACTCCCTGGGTCGCCATCTGGACATCCACGTTCAGGTCGTGAAGCCAGATCCATTCGAACCATCCGTGCTGTAATTTGCTCAGGACCTTATTCATGTCTCGCTCCGTCTCCGGATGCAGTTGATAGATCATCTGGCCCATCTCATATGCCCGTTCCAGCTGTCTCTGGGCCCGCGGCCTTCGAACCCCATCATACCCAGCAAATCCCGCACGGAGATATGGTTCCAGAAGATCATCCTTGCGTGGAGTCTGCCAAATCTTGGCGAGCACATTCGATAGGACTAAGGCATCCTCCAAGCCCTGGCCGGCGCCGGCGGCCTGGAAAGGCAGCGAAGCATGGGCACTGTCGCCCAGAAGTACGACGCGATCACGGAAGTACGTCGATGTGTAGCGGTGGTGGAATAGTCCCCACTTGATGGGGCTTGCTTTGCGGAGCAGCTGGCGGAATCGGTCGTCGATGTCGGGGCCCTCGAAATCAGCCATCATCGCCTCGTAGCGGACTTTCTGCGTGACGGCGCTCTTCAGTTCCCAGGGCTTCCCGTCTGCCACGCAAAGCAGAAAGTTCAATTCCTAAAAGGTTTTCCACGGCTGATTAGCGTCCTGAGGTCCGTGCTTGCCACTCAATATGTCGGGGGTCCATTGCGCTTACCTCTCCGCCGGAAATCAGGTAGGTGATGCAAACGCGTCTGTCACCGAGGTACATCTTGGCAACATCCGTGAGATCGCCGAAGATTTCTTGGGCCTCGGCAGTAGGGATCACCCCGCGGTAGCAGTATGAGCCAGCATAGACCGGTTCCACCTCGCTGGGATACAACGGCGATAGCACATGCTCTCTCACGGCGCTCTTGATGCCGTCTGCGCCGACCACCACGCTAGCCTCGGCAGTTTCGCCGTCTGCGAAGGTCAAGACAGCTTTGTCCGATTCCTGTGTGATCGCCGTCAAGCGCTTGTTGAAACGAACATTTTCAATTGGGATGAAACTGGTCATGATTTGAAGGACGTCATTCCGGTGTCCCTATGTCAACTTTAGCACTGCTGCACTCAAAACGCCGGGAGTGGAGGGACAGACAGCTCTGCGGATATATTCTGGGTGGCCCCAGGACGATTTGCCGTACCACGGCTCTTTGAGGCCTGCGTCGGCGGTTAATTGGCAGACCAGTCACCGGTTTGCTTCGGGTAGCACGAAGAGACAGGGAGATCCCTACCAAGGCCCTCCTTAAGCAATAGTCCCTCATAGTAGATATTCTCGGTCTCCTTAGTCTTGTTACCGACGCAGACACGGTCGAATTTAGGGCGAAAGCCCTCTTGGATCATGTCCAACGCCAGGTCGCCATTTGTCCCGAATCCTATGCCAGCACTTTGTGTTGCATCTGCAGTTAGTAAGAAAGAATGGACGCGGCGATCCTACCAAATGGACTGCAAAGCACAAACTCACCCGACAACAGAATATTGAGACGCCGCTTCATAGACGGTGAAAGGCACCCCCTGCTTGTAAAGCCCCATAGCGAGGGCAAGGCCTCCAATCCCCGCGCCTAGACTCGGCCGTTAGCGAGTGCCACAGGGTAGGTAGGGACAAGAGTCCAGAGAGGCCATACCAACAATGGCAACGTGCATTTCTTTGACTTTGTCGTGGCTCATGGCTCTTGTTTATTCACAAGGTTCTTTGCTGGTGATGAATGACTCTGCTGAGAATTATTAGACAAGTGCATGATGCGATATATATCCAGCCATCGAGATTGTATCCCGACAATGACCAAATTACCGGTCTCGATTGCAACCCCAACGGCACAAAGGCCGGGGTGAATCCGGCCGTCATCCGCAGGTACAGAAATCAACCGTTTCGAAAGCGCCGCTGAACCAACCGGCGGGGTCGGGAGTACTATCCATCTCCGCACCCGTGCTCATTCTGGAGGCGGGGATGATTTGATAGCCCGTCGGATGACTCCAAAAGGTATGATGCTTGCCGAGCTTGCTTGCCAGTTTCACAAAGCATCCACAACCGCATCTCCGGATATTCCGAAGATCCCGGAGAACCCCCGCTTACCCCCGCTTGTCCCCCGCTTGTCCCCGCCCA